TGTAGGTTGTAGCCAATCACCAGACATGTGGCAGTGAGTTGTTTTCCCTGAGAAATGTCTTGGATCGATGGTCCAATAAGAAACACTTCTGCGTTCCTAGGAGAACTCCGAGGCACTGGAAGAGAAGAGAACACACTATATATCAAGTTTACATTTCTGTGTCTTCTTTCATGATTTGGGTGCTCCACAGGGTTTTTCATTATAAATTTAAACCAAACTTAAGGTGGCCATTCAGTCCAATTACAGTTATTTTTGTCAAGCAGGTTGTGAAAGAGGTTTTAAATTGAGAGAATAATTAAAAGTATAATGCATTGCATTGGATCAAGGAGAACCCACCTGTGCACATGCTAATGTTGTCAGTCCGCACTATGCTGTTGTGGGTGGCCTTGCAGGTGTACACAGAGTTGTTTTGCCAGTGTTGGTGTGGAACATCTAACTGGCTGATTGCAGTGTACGTTTCTCTCCCTATTTTGACAGGCTCAGATTGCTTTCCCCGATTTGACTGGAGTCCATTCTCCTCCCATGTTATAGTTATTTTGTTCGGATAAAAATCCGTGATTAGGCACGACAAGGTGATGGAGGTGGCTTTTCCATCGTTTGGCAAGAGTGGTGGAGTAATCATCACCTTTGGTGCACTTGGATGCGTGGAAGCTGTGAAGAAATTAAGATGTCATTAAGAATTACATTTAACATTGAAACTCTAGCGGAAGTACCATCTCTAAAGCGGTGAGTTTAATATAAAAAAAGTGTGATTAATAGGAAAATATTACACATTACAATCTGCCATCTCTGGTGCTGGGAAGCCCCAATCTAGCTCCTTATAGTCCTCCTGTTTTAAAAGATTAGTAATAAGCTATTGATCGTTCTAATGTATTAAGTATGTGTTCTGTTTAGTTGGGAGAACCCTAGACCTTGAGGTATGAAAAATACTTCGGCTGTAGTCTCAACATTACTTCGTTTAACAAATTGCATGCTTGTTTGACCGCAATGGAGTTGTTCCATGTGAAGAAATGAATTTAATAGTAACCTGTTCTGTGAGAATAGGCAACAGCTTTTCCAGGCTATTTCTTATCACAGGAGCCCCTCCATCTGCTGCATGCTCAGTCCCCTGCTCTACTCCTTGTTCACCCACGATTGAGGATCGAAATCACCCAGCGAATGCACTTTTCTCTCTACATCTCTCTAGTAGAAGATTTAGGAGTACAAAAGCCTGGACGTCTAGGTTAGAAGAAATTTACTACCCCACAACCACAAAAGTCCTGAACTCCACCTCTTAAAACCTCCTACCCCACTTACACCGCACTGCTTTCTTTGCACTAAACTGCTGATTTTGGATTTTGCACCCGCTGCTGCATGAATGCTGCTGTCATTTGTGATGTCATTTGTCATGTGAGAAAACATGCAGGTGAGGATTGCATTTTACTCAAGTACATATGACAATAAACTTGAACTGCAAACCTTGCTGGATTGAGTTCTCCAGGCTGGAGGTCTCTGTTCTAAACCAAAATGATTGGTATTTCTATAAAGGTTAAGTTCGTTTTAGAAGTCACCCAAAAGCCATTTATTCCTAAATTTCTTCCTCCAGTCTTATTCATGAAAATGTGTAGGGCGTGTGTTAATTTTTAGAATACGTACCTTACCAGACCTGAGAGTCTTTTTTCTGTGCTGGTGTATGTAAAAACCTAACAAATGGTTTAAACGTAAGCCTGAAAATTGCTATCAAAAACGTTCCGTAATCACCACACCTCAGATACGTGGCCTAAATAATGCAACAGGGTGTTATTTATTAAATTGAAGTTCACAGAATGGGGGAATAAAGACTAGAATCTGGACTATTTGAAATTGTTAAACACTTCTACCTTTCCTCCAAGCACACCAGCTCTCTGTTGTTAAATTGTATGTGATGTGAACCGCATACTGAAGCTTAACAGATAGACGAATGCAGGGTCACAAATTGCAAAGAGCTGGGCGTCCAGTACCACACCTGTCGGAAGTTTTGATTTTTTTTTAGGGTGTACTAAATAAACAGAATAATAATAATAATAATAATAATAATAATAATAATAATAATAATAATAATAATAATTGCTTACACTTATATAGCACTTTT